AATTGGATGATGTAACGGAGAATGGGCAAACAAAAATATTTGGAAAAACCGAGGGTGAAATACCGCGAGCGTTCAACTTTTTTTTTTCCGATACAGTGGAGGTGCGATGGGACGGGCAAACTTTCAACCGGAAAAGATAGGAAAATCTTGCGTCGACTGAAAAGAGATACACCTGCGATCGATGATTTTACGATTTGTCACACGACCGCCAATACATGCGTGACAGTGATTTACTATAATCTCTCGATTACGATAAACTTTTTTGACGATTGCTCGTCATTTCAGATTCTCTGTTCAAATGAAGAGCAGATAAGAACGATTAAAGGGCTAGAAGACATCGAAAGTAAGTAGCTGATTTTTGACCGCGTAAATGGAACAAGGTAATAAGAGGCGATGGGAGTGGTTGGCGTCGAGAGGAGAGCGTCGCGCATCGCATGCGACCGCCGCGAGGGCGTTAATTTACCAACGCGTTCGCTTTTACGAGCGCGAAACGCTGCTGTCCACCAGCCGATTCTTCACCGATCCTAATGGGATTATGCGATTAAATCTCGATTCGTCTTAACGATACGGATAATGCGTTTAGCCGGCGTCCAATTTTCTGATGCACGTACCGTTACCAATATCCGTGATCGATACGACCCTTACCAGCCTTAGTATCAACCCCTTGAAACGGTTAAATTTATTTACACATAATAGGAAAGAATGAGAAGAATCACGTCGATCTCCGGATTGAGCTCCGTTTAATTCGCTGAACCGACAATGCGACGCTATTAAATCAATTTACCCATTCTGGCGAAGAAAGCGAAAGCTCTGTCAATTGTCGATTGTCTCGAACTCCGGTTGGACGCGTTGAACGGGCGCGACGCGATAGTACTTTATTACAATTTAATTTTGCTTTCCATCTAGTAAATTATCACGATTCGCGCGGTGCCTATTATTACCGCGTCCCGTAGCATCAACGTGATTATTATTTACGACAGCACGCTTCGTAGCCCGATAACTCAACCCACCCCATGCGCTCAGTTCACCGATCCCGCGACCTAGCGAGCACCCCTTCGCCACCATAGCCGTGTTCCCCGGCATAAGCAAAACGATCTCCTGGAACGAGCTGTTCCTCGAGTCATCGACTGACGCGTAGGTTGAGAGTCGCTACCCACACCGACCGAGTCCGAAAGATAGCCGGCGAAGAGGAGAGGAAATGAAGAAAGAGAGAAGAAGGAGAAAAGGGAGCCGAGAGAGAACGAGCCACGGACTACGGACTATAAGGTATATATACGATGAGACTTGGCTCGGAACAGGGACAGAGACGGCGACGCGGGGCCGGGGAACGTGGGGAGGCGAAGGTGGAACGGCGTATATATACGACGGGAAGAGGGTAAAGGAAAGGAAGGCAAAGGGAGAAACCCCCCGTTGCGCCCACGCTGGACTCGGGTTTTTTGTGAAGGAGCCGGCGACCGAGGGGGGCAGCGAAGCAAAGGGAGCGACTCTGTGAGGAGCGGCAGGGAAGTCAGAGAGTATACAGGGGACGGCGGCGACGAGGGAGAGATCGGTCGGGGGCTGGAGGTGGTGGAAGAACTGGCAGGGGCTGCTCTAGGGAACGAGAAACACGGACGGAGAGGGAAGGAGGGTCGGTTAGGGTGAAGGTGGATGATGGCCGAGAAGGGTGGAAGCGGGAGAAGGTTGTGGGTCGGGTGGAGCGAGATACATAGGGGTGCCGGCAAGGGGTAGGGGACTCTACCGCCCAAGGCTTCAGAAACCAAGGGTGTCTAATGCCGAGTGGACTTTGTTCGCTCGCGAGATGACACACTGTGTACACACACGTACGCGGCGCGACACACGGCCACAGTCAAAGGGACACGGACGGACGAGCGGACGGACAGGTTGCACGCGTCGCGTACACGCGTGTATATCCGGCTATATACTATTTAGCGTTGCACCGCGCGCGCGGGCGTACATACCCTCGGTCGTGTATGTAGCGTTACGCGAAATGCACGCGCGTATCTTGCCCCGATAGCGGCGTAAATGGATCCAGTACATGGTACTGCGAGCGGGCGCTGTGTATTAGGTACGAGAGCCGACCAAACGTCAGGGCAGCGGTGCATTATGGTCGCATCGGAAAACGGGACACACGGCGCGGTGGACGGGGCCGGGGGTATTATAGATCTAATTCGACCGCTTTCAGACGCGGACGAGGCGCGGGTTTTTTGTTCAGGACGTAGAGGGGGGGGGGCAGGAGGGGGCCCGGCTTGGTTCGTCGCTCCTGAAAGCGCACGGGGTGTGCAGCGGGTCGAGTGGGCTTTGTTCCCTCGTGGGATGACACGTTGCGCTCGCACCGTGATCGCGGTTTTATATATATATGTTATACGCGTATGTACGTATGTACGCTTCTGCTCGACGAAGAAGCTCGCGGCTTTTTGCGCGGAGGAACATCGTTTGGCGCGCTGCCTGGGCTTCGTCCCGTTCTTAACTGCGCCTTGGACAATCGAGGAATCTTTAAAGTCGCGACGGTCCAGAAATGTTTCGACCGTAAACGGTTTCGAATTCATTAAAATGAACACAAGCACTGAATCGTACGAAACCAGTAATTACTTCTTAATTTCGTACGAATTTCAGTACTATAAAAAGATTTCAAATGACTTTGTTAAATTCCTGCCCATTAGATTATACTTGAGCACCGAATTCGTAACACTTTCAACTATGATTAGAAGAAACTCGAAGATGACGACGTGACACGATCGATGAGCTCGGGGAATGCGAGTAACACAAAAAGCGGTCGATTCTAGTCGGGAAAGTGGAATTTCTCGTACGTATACAATGCGGTATCGCGTCCCTTCGATAACCGCGGTCGAATCGAAAGCGGAAGAGATCGCACTTTCACCGAAAAGTTCTCAGCTTTTTTACGCCCCCCTCCTTACGCTTGTCGCGTCCCGAAGTTTTCCGCCCCCGCGACTGCAAACTGTTGCTTAGATCGTTATCGCGGCCGATAAGTCGCCTCCCAATCGTAGAAAGACTTCGTCGGCTTTCTTCGTTCCGAGCTAATGAGCGGCGTTCAAATAGGGGAAGCAGTTTAATCCGATTGCCGATTGAGCGACGCTTTCGCTTCGTCGAGATTTCGCGAATGAAATACGGCGTCGCTAATAAAACGCGCGGCAGACGCGCCCCTTCGACGGACGCGACGCGGACAGCCCCTGTCGAGCCATGTAACGCGTGAAAAGGGTGGAAAGTGGCTCCGGGCTTATTGGTTTCATTGCTTCAAATTGACTGAAAAAAGTATCATAATAATGGCGGCCTGGGTGTTCGGCTAAAAGTGACTTAATCAAATCCTGACAATGGATATGAACTTTGAGTTACATTTTTATACTTCCTTCGATGTTTTTCAAAACTGTTCAATGAAATTACTGAGACTTTGATTGGACGTCAAAGTGGCGTTGCGGCTCGGTGCTGTTCACTGATAAAAATAAACGACAGCGAAACTTCAGGTGCCAATTCCTCGTGTAGGCATGCTAAAGAGATCGTGCAAAATACTCTGTCAATGTGAAGTCATACGCGATGTGAAGAAGAATATCGGACAATAATAGCAACCACGTACAATGTCCAAATTTAATTATACCACTTAAAAGCAAGACGGTGTTTTTATCGAAAGTTCCGCGGGTAACAGACGGAACTGTTCGGTATCTCGGACTTTCCGAAGCTGCCAAGAAGCGCGCGTTTCTTCCACGTCGCACATCATTCAGACTGAACTACCGAGAACAAAGTGTTCGTTGTGAGAGACGATCCGAGAAACGCGGAGCCAAAGCAGGACACCCTCTCTGGAAGTCCTCCCTTATCAAGCCCGCAGGTGGTCGAGGAGGAGGCCGTTAGGCTCGGCTGGCTAATAACTCGAAAGACGGACCATTAAAGAGGAGCCTGGCTCTCTCATCGGATGACTCGTCATCGTTGGACTCCGCTGCGTGTTCACGTACACAGTTAAAGCGAAATCGCGTGGTAACGATATCGCGCACGTCGCGTCGTAGCGAGCAAACGAGAGAGAGAAAGAGAGAGAGAGAGAGAGAGACGGACGAGTGCAGTTAGATAGCTCGGAACGGACAAGGAGAGCGCGAGGAGGGAAGCCACGAATGATCCCACTGTACCTACAATCGCACGGACCTGTCCATACAGAAAGAGAGCAGTGGCGTGCACGTTGCACGTATGTACGTATACCCTCCTAAGCACGAGCCTAACACACTCGTGGAAGCCCCTTCGGCCGATGGGTGCTGCGTCCCTTGCTCCCGCTGCGCGTCTCCCTTCGCCCCATCCCACCCATGCGAGAGCCAAAGGTACACTCTCCGGTATCCCCTCGCTCCGGGAGCCCTGTGCGGCCCCTTGCGCCCCTTTCGATCCCTCCTTTCCCTTGGAGTTACCCGTCCACCGGCCCCTTCGGTGTTCTGACGGTGACAGACCCTACCTTACCGCCTCCGCTGCCGCGGGGCGAGGCGAGGGTGCTGGGAAGGAAGGAAAGACCGAGACGGACAGTCGGTCGGAACGGACGAGAGAGACACGGATAGACAGGGAACGCGGCCAGAGAGAGACGGAGACAGAGACCAGAAAGGAACACCGGGGGCGAAGGAGAGAGGGTTGACGCGTTCGAGGAGGACCGCTGGGGAGCGAGAGCGGTACGGGTCATAGCAGGGCGCGGCATGAGGGAGAGACAGCGACGGACAGAGGGAACGAGTAAAGGGGCCGGGGTACCGTGGGGAAGCGGTGCCGTAGAGGACGGGAGAGAGACGGGCCGAACGGGAAGCCGCGTGGGTGTGAGCGGGACGGGAGAGGAAAGGGTGCGCGGAGTATGGGTGAAACGTAGTGGAGTGAGGTCGGCGCGGTTGGGGTGAGGAGACGTGGGGGAGTCGAGAAGAACTGGGGAGCGGCGCGGAGGCGGTGAGGAGAGTAGTGGAAAGGCTGTGCGAGGTACGCAAGGGGAAGGGGGTCGCCACCGCGACGCCAGTCGCCAGTTTGCCGTGAGCGCTCGTGATGCGAGGAAGTTCTATGATTTCGTCTAGGAGCGCCGCGCTCTCTCACTGCATCAGGAACGCGCTTCTTTCCACGCGTCATTATCCATCCGCGTGCAGTAGTAGACCACGGTATCGACTCTTTTGAGAAAGTGGAACCGAAGATAAGAGCGGTCAGTGCTCGATCATCGTAGGTTTCAACGGTCGCATCGCCCGCGGCGTGCGCGACCACGCGACGCATACACGAGAAACAACGGAGTACTCGCTCTCGTGCTCGATTCATAACAGTTCCGTGCCGCGGCCCGTCTTCGAGGTGTTCACGTGTACGTACGTTCAAGTGTTTCCCAAGACTGTTCGACGTGCCCGTTCGCTCTACGACCGAACGTCGTTGGGACCAGATGCGTGCACGATCGACCAGCTGATCGCGGATTCTGGCAGTGAGTTGCATCGGCTCGATGGACTTTATAGAGACAGTTCGTCCGTGGAGTATAGCGTACGTGAGCGGAACGCCGAGCACCGAGACGAGTCGACAGTTTCCGTGCGAGCAAACGGCTTTTGCAGCCGTCCGCACCTGCGGTAGCCGCGGGAATTTTATCGCGGTGGTTCCCGGCGCCGATGCGTGTTGCGCGCGAGCTTAAACTTCGCGGGTACTGTGCGCGGGACAAGGACGGAGCGCACGTTGCGAGTGAGACGGAGACTAGAACCGAGGACTCTGGGAAAGTTTGAGAGACAGTCGAATTCGAAGCGGCCGCGAGCGAAGTGTACGCGCTGTGGCATTGTGTCATCGTTCTACGTGCACCCAACCTCACCGACGAACAAGGACAGTGTACCCGCGTAGAACCAGTGAAAGATCGTCGATATCAGCTTTTGTTTCGCGAGATTTTGGGGTTGAAAAACTGACGACAACGGCCGGAGAGACAAATACCAGAGAAGAAAAAATAGGCGGTCGTCGCTGCGGCACCAGAGGAGGAAAATCGCGTCTGGACTGAATATGTCCGCCAAGCGAAAGGCCACTGCCATCATGCAGCATCACAAGGTAAGTCGATTGACAACCATCATCGTATCGCCACGTGATCGCTTTTTCTAGTAGTCAGCGAGATAAAAACAAACGCTGTACCGATAGTCGAAGTACGCGGTTCAAGGCAGCGATCGTCCTTGCCTCGAGCATGTTTATAATCGTATGAGAGTCGCGGAATACGCGATAAACAGAGAAAAACGTAGCACGGATAAAATTCTCGTTTTACTTTCGCACACGAGGAAAACCGGATCGGGGAAAGCTCGGAAAATTGGAGTTTTCCAGCGTCAGGTCGCGCAACTCATTATTCCGTTCGAGTCTAATTTTTTGCCCTCTCCACGCTTTTTTGGAGTGGCGAGTCGGGGCGGAGTGGCCGGGAGAGCAGCCGGCCGGCCGAGTGGGAGGAAGATGAACCGCGCGCGAAAGTTTTAATTGAAAGAGTTACACGAATTTCGTCGGAGGGGACGCGTGCATGCAAAAGTTGCGAGGGTAACACTTAACGCGTATTGACTCATTAACCGTTCCGTCGTTATCCGCGATTTTTAATTCGCTAACCGACGTACGCAGTCGAGCACCTGCTCCGATTCCTTTGTCGTCGATTATTATTATTATCGATGATACTCGAAGGCGACGGAAAACATGTTTAAAAGGTATTATCCGATTTATCCGTTGCATCGAAATTGTTTGTCAATTTTTATTTGCGAGCATGCAACGTTTCCGATCCGACGCCTTGCGCAGAAAAAAACGAAATTCTGGGATTTTTCTGTGGAAATCGGCGATACAGGCGCGATGACGAACCCGTCAGGCCCGACTTATCGCTACACTCTTTTTCTATCCGGCCAGATTAGACCTGCATATCTCGCGCGAAAGATAATCCGCGGATCGCGTTTCCAGGGAGCTCGATTAGAGCACGTGCTCGATTGAATAATTGTACGTGACCGAGCATCGGGCAACGATTGCTCCGTTTCGTTCGTCCCTTGGTCGTTTTCAATTTTTCATGTGTAAGAAGGGATATTCTCATTGTACAACAAATTTCTATACATATGCAGCAGTAATGCGGCGATTGAACACAGAAGGATTACACGTAGCACGGTATTCGCTGAAAATTGAATCGACTTGCGTGCGAAGAAGCACGAATAAAAGGAAATGAAATGCAAAATCCGGATTTGCTTTAAACGCGCTGTTTACTCTCCAAATTCATTATCATTCGTACTCTCGTTATAATCCCATTGATATTTGGGGGACCTGTTTTAAGTTACAAACTGGCATTAAAGGGGTGTCGATGGTAATCGAGCATTACTTTATTACTAGATTTGCATATTTTCGATTCATTCGACGCATATCTATTCTAATTATTCGCGTCGGGGCTAATTGACGCGGAAATGTAATTTTAAAGGTCGCTAGGGTGACCGCAACTTCGTTAAAATCTGCGAATAATTGCCCATCATACGGTAAAGGGAAAAATAGTAGCAATTTTTTATGTCATTTATTATTCTAATTAGTGAATAATTTCGTAGTACTATCCTGACATAACGCGCGTCGAACTGCGACTACACGATGACCGAGGAGGAGGTAAACGTACTTACACTGAATTATCAAAAAATGATTGTTAATTCTAATAACAGAAAATTTGTGGAAAAGGAGGATGTATCCAACCCCGTGAACTCCATTAGCCGATCGATCGTACGGCTGCATAAATTAATCCCCGCGCATTCCGCATTTAGCTCGAAAAACCGTCGCCCCCATCCCGTGTTGCCGGCAGCGCGACAGCGTAACAATGATCGATTCGAAAAGTGTGCTCGTTTTCGCTTTTGAATCCTTCGGCTGCCGCCCCTTTGTCCGACCCGCGCGCTGAAACGCCGAATTTTGAACAATTCGCAACGGCTGCTCCCGGCTGGCAAATTTCGCTGGATAATTCAGAACGAAATCCTGCACCGCGCCGCTGCGCTGCCCGGCAACGCGAGTGTTTCGGCTTTGCGTTACAATTAGAATTAACAGCGTTCCCGGTTTATTTTCGACGGCGAATATATTTTTATGTTGCTTTCCGAACCAGAGACGATTTCAACGCGTTTTGCGGAACTATGCAGAATTTGTAAAATAAATACGGTACTCTCGAAACTTGGTACTGTTGAAATTCGTATTTTATCGTAAACGTGTGTTAATAATTGCCAGAGTATCTGCAGACAAGATTATTTTATAGTTCTGTGAAAGAGAAGAAAAAAAATTGAATCCAAATAAATACTATTTCTTAATCTTGCCCCGATAGGGGAAATTAACTCGAGCCGGAGTTGGCCAGGAATCATTGTCTTAAGTTGTACAACGCGTCTTGCGTGCTACACATGTATGAAAGATAAGAAACGACAAGAACAACGGAAGGAATCGAAAGAAACTGGAAACGAGAGCTCCCCTTCTGTCGTTCAACTTCGTGGCATTCCAACTAGCCAGTAGAGCAACAAAACGCGTAGGAAAAAGGACCGGAAAGAAAAGGGGAGTAAGGACAAATCGTCCTGATTTTGAGGAACGAGCAACACATGATAAACGATCGGGCGGTCCGGGCGTCGAAAAGAGAGCAACAGTAAATACCAGTGGCTGGTTTGGTTGCCGGCGCGCCGCTAGTTAGATCGATCCGATCAGAATCGAACCGCGAAAGTCGAGCCGTAGTTGAGGCAGGTTCAGGACGGCTTCGTCCTTCTCTTCGTTCTCACCCCGGGTCCCCCTCTTCTTGAACTAACGAGCCCGTCTCGCTCTGCCGCCTCTGTTTTCTTCTCTTTTCCGCTGTCGTTCACTGAATCGTTCGTCCTGTTCGCGCCTGCGCCTCTCTCGCTCGCTCGAGGTCCAACAGGTTATATTTTTCCAGCTCTCTCGGTCTTCCTTCGCCCGTCTTTTTCATCCCCCTTCGTCCTGTCTATACGCTCTTTCTCTTTCCGTTGCGCCACGGCCAATCAATCTTCCCGTCCGACTCCCTTTCGTTCGCGAGCCCTTCTTCCCGCTCCGTTCGAAACTTTTTCACGCTTGCGCCCGCGTCGACCCTCGCGGATCAACCCCTACGAGCCGCGTCGATCTAAACGAGGTAATTAGAAAAACGTCCCGTCTGATTGGAATCGAACACTGTTCAGAAATTTTAAGCGACGAACTATTACGTTCAACGTACATCGTTCCATTCTGTAGTTCAGTAAATGAAATGTATACGATTCCTCATTGTGAATCGATGTAAAAATTAACAACTGATTACCTCGCGTCGCTGATGCATAAAAAATTCCGATCAATTTACCTGATTCATGCGGCACACTCCACTGCGGCACGTTCAGCAGAATCGGTGCTCCCAGGTAAATGACGCACGGCTCAAACTTCGTTTGCCAAAAGTGACTCACGGTCACATATAAAAAAAATAATGCTACCCGATGACTTATAAAATCGCGGTTTCATTTTGTTAAAGTACGACTTTAAAAATCCCTGGGAAAAACGCATTTTTCATTTAGCACGAATTGGATTAGCGTTGGCTAGAATCATATTTAACCGTGACTTAAAAAAAAATTATTACCCTCTCTAACGGATATGGAATTTTTAAAAACCAGCAGAGACACCCTCGAAAACGCTGTTTCGGAAAATTGTCGGCGTAAAAAAAATGTACGAGCCTCGTAAAAGTATTTCACTCTCGAAGGGAAGTAAAGATCAAATTATTTCGAGGGAAAACGATGTACCTCCTCTCATCTGCATAAATTAGTGTAGCCCGTATGTATAAAATGTAGAAACGGTCCTAGGATAGCAATTAGAATAGTCGCAGAATTGCAGCATTAGCGATTACCGGGTATTAATGTTTGCGATCAGCAACCATGAATGGGAGATCCCTACGTCAGCGATAATGACCCCAGAAACTGCAAAATAATATAGATTATTCCCGGTAAATTAAACGAGACGATGTTCGGAACACTTGTTTTAATTGATCACCGTAAACATTTCATCCAGTATAAAAATCCGCAGTCTATCAATGACGATTCTCACGTATTACGAAGGAATATTTAACCAATGACCGTGCATGAATCAGCCGAATAAAAGATGCACGCGTTATTCGGCGCGAACGCGTAATGCGATTAACGTTTTTTCCTTGTGTTTCCTTGCCGAATAACGTAGCAGAAGTTAAGCTGGATTAGTTAGCGTTTGAGTGGTAAGCGGCAAGAAGTTTTTACGAGCAGGACGCGCTTTCACCCTGTAATACCCAATGTAATATTTACCGTGCGCCCTTCGGCCATTCGGATCGCGAATCCAACTATTTATACGCGTCATCATTCTTTGGTCAGAGGAAGAACACGCCGTGACTCGTAAGGAAAAAATATCGAGCCCCGTTTTTTAAAGGAATTTCTGGTAATTCCGATTTGTCACGACGAGACGTTCGTTACAATTTACGTTCGTTAATTCTTCGTGGAGAATTAATGTTGAAATGGTTTCTGAAATTGGAAGAGTCCGAAATTTCAGCTTGAACAGCAGAGAGCTTTACACGGTTCTGAAAGCTGTTAAGGGCACACGTAATCTTAGGGCGCTAATGAGGCATGCGATTCCACCGTTAAAGGATTAAATTACTGGACGTGGAAAGTCGCGGCAAAAGGGGTGAGGACTTGCCGTAAGGGGTTTCGTTCTTCAGCTGCGATCTCGAGGACTTAATGGAGCTTGTAAATGACAGAAAATCGATTCGCCGGTGCAACGCTATTTTTCTACAACGTCCATTCACTATTTTTACTCGTTTCCTTCTAAACCCGAATTCTAGCGGCGATTTTAATTATTATCACGCGGCCGTTTGGAAAAGAAATTCCTTTTGTATATTTCGAGTTCCCGGTTTATCGTTCGCACGATCGTTCCCATTCGTTCAGGCAATTAACTCACCTACACACGTGTCAGCCGGGCACGCAACTAGTGACGGCTCCGACAGACTTTGTGCTCAAGCAGCTTAATGACATTAATCTTGCATATGATTTCTTAACTAATATAGAGAGAAAAATTTCTAAAAACGAATACTCGTAATTCTT